TATAAATGCCAATATCGCTAAGACCAGTGTTTCAAATTTTGAAATGTTGAAAATCTTTCACTATCTATTCAAGTGTATTGCACATCACACTACTGTTCAAAACAGATGGATTTAAAGTGTTTGGCATTTCAATGCGATGTGAATTGCTTGCTCAGAAAGGTAAACATCTAAAACAAGACTACTTGTGATTTTATCCTATCAACCCGCCTCATATATGAGAACAACCGTGGCACAGTGAGATCGAACGAAAACTCCGGCAGCAGCACACCCATGATCGAATCCCAAATCAGACCCATTAAAAAGATATGTGAAATCTCTGGCCTCTGGCAGTTTTGTTTATATATTTGTCGATTCATTTTTAGAGTCGGTAAAGTAGAATATTGTAGAATACTGAACTATGATGTGCAAAGTTATTGATATCACCAAATGAGGCACATAGAATTCAACTGTGTCACAATTCAAATCCATCGTGTTCAGGCATGATTCATAGCATAAGATTCACACATGAAATGGATGTGTTTCACCACCGACAAACCGACATGAATGATCATACAAATTTCAAAGGAATTTCTAATCAAAGCACAAAAGTGACATCTGCCACCGTGTTCGCGGAATATATTAATCCTAGCCACGAACACGCGTACACAATTTATGAGTTGGTTCGTGTCTAATCTATTTAGGACAAATTATTTTTTAGGCCTATTCTGCGCGGCGTGTGAGGTGAAGTGACTCACTGTCACTAGTGAAGTGACAATCGTCACCTCGGGTGAGGTGACTCCATTTGATTTGCATGGAGAGTCACCTCACCCGAGGTGACAATTGTCACTTCACCATCACTTCACTGTCACCTCACCTCACACGCCGCGCCTATTTATCTAGATAAAATATTTCTATGGTTTTGACAGATGGGATCGCTGCACATTTGAATCGGCCGTTATGGATTTTCGATCAAGAGTTAAGTTTAAGGTTCATGTCGGTTTGTCGGTGGTTTCACAATAAGCGCAAAATTAAGTGTGAGACACATGATGATGACGTGTGGAATTTTTTGAGTGCATGGAATTATTCTAAGAATTACCTAGGAATTCAATTAAGCACTTTTGCTGGAAACAGTGGGTTCAAAACTTGACTATCTAAATTGATCAATTTGAACTCCTAGTAACCCTACGACCATTGGAAAAGCAAGTTTTTGGTAGCCTTATTTGCTGTTTTGATTTGATTCTGCGTTCCGTTTCGCATCGCTCCAGTTCGCTTTTCTCCATTCCATGCTAGATGACGTTTGAGCAATTTTTAGTTTGCACCCGCTATTTAAAGACTACCCAAATTTGAGTAGAATTCACCCAGATTGGTCCAAATTGAACCTACCCAAAAATGGGTAAATTGTGTTGGGAGTGACAAGTTGACAAATGAACAACATCGACATGATTGGGTAGGTTCAGTTTTGACCGATCTGGGTGGAATCTACCCAAATTTGGGTAGTTTTGAAATAGAGTGCACGCCGTGCAGATTAGCGGGGTTTAAACTGAAAAGTGTTCAGATCATAAACGGTCAGATTACCGGGGGTCCACTGTGATAGTTCTAAAACAATTGGCGTTGACGGTGACTCTGTAGCTCTTTACTCCAATGGTAAAATCCATAAGCAAACGTCAGACTGTGCGTGAAACATGGCGGACTTCGTACTATCCTTTCACTTCACTGAAAATTTCCATAAGAAACTGTCAATCTTTGCTAGAAGAGACGATTTTTCTGCGGTGCCGTCAACGCCAATAAATCCCCCACTATTCTGCGAGTCACGTGACTCTCTCTCACCGGTGAGGTGACAATAGTCACCTCGTGTGAGGTGACTCTCCATTTGATTTGCATGGAGAGTCACCTCACACGAGGTGACTATTGTCACCTCACCGGTGAGAGAGAGTCACGTGACTCGCAGAATAGGGGGGAATGTCGTAAGGTCGTTCGCAATGCTTTGGCTGTTGTATTTCTTATACACGCTCATTCAAAACTACCCAAATTTAAGTATAATCCACCCAGATCGGTCATAATTGAACCTACCCAAAAATGGGCAAACTAATTTGGGAGTGACAAGTTGACAAATGAACAAAGTCGATCGGATTCATGTCAATGTTGTCCATTTGTCAACTTGTCACTGCCAACATAGTTTACCCATTTTTGGGTAGGTTCAGTTTTGACCGATCTGGGTGGATTCTACCCAAATTTGGGTAGTTTTGGAATAGCGTATAGACTTCTCTGACGTTTGTGAAATGCGCAAGTATTAGTGCAGAACTTGGGGTAAATTATAAGTATTAGTGCAAGAAAACCTTTGAATTTACCACTTTGTCAAGCAGTTTTGGCGTGACTTTCTACCAGCGATTTCACAAAACTGGACCAACTAATTTCTATTTTTTACGAAACGCACAAATATTGGCTACTTTTCTCGTGGTTCTAGAAGAAAAAATCTCAAAATGATGTTTTATTTCAAAGTTCGAGTGGTAGTAAACGTCATTTTAACTGCTCGAATGTAGTGGTTAATTCATCCAAAGTTCTGCATTAATACTTGTGCAGTTCATGAACGTCAAAGAAGTCTCTGGACTGTTTCAATTTGAAACTAGAACAGAAACACACCCCTCGCAATGCTGAGTTGCAGTTTCATTATTCGAGCACTACCCTAATGAAAATAACCATAAAAGAGATAGGGGAAATGACGGCTTCGGCATGACAGACTATTTTCGGCAACACAAATTGAAACACTATTTTCACTGGATTTTTTTACGAAAACACTTCGCTGAATGCATGCAAACGATTCTTTATGCTTTCAGCTTCAATTTGACTATATTTTTACCACTGAGAAAAAGCAATCTAGCAAGGTTTTCTTGAAATGCAACACACGCACTACAAATTATAGCTGATTTCGAGTTGCCGAAAATAGAACAGCAGATTTACATGCAGTTCAAATGGAACGGTTGCCGAAGAAAAACTGGTTGCCGACAATACTCGCTCTCACTAGAGTAGATTGGAGCTTTGTAAAAGCGTTTCAAAACAGTTTTTAACCATTCTTTCGACTGAAATTGTTAGAGCAGCTGGCAGCAAAAGATTGTAAACAAACCAAACCTGCATATGTGTGCGTTCCATAGAGAAAAAGGCTATAGAAAGAAGGTCGCTGCTTAGGTTGCCGAGAATACGTAAATTCCCCTAGTTGAAGATGCTAATTTCAAATAACAGACTGTAGTGGTAATTTTTATACGTTAGATGGAGTAGATGAAAGTGTAGAGTTGATAGTGCCGTTAGAGTACGGTAGTGTGAAAATTGCATATAGATAGTAGAATAGCAATCTAGGACAACTTTTAATTTAAGGAAGGTACAAATCGGTTTTTTCATCTCTCTTTACCAAACTCCCCCTTTGGAGAGGGATGGTGAGGGTACATAACTCTGGATGGGAGCATACCATCAATTACTGTCAATGGTCGAACGGTACAGTAGCAGCACCTACCCCACTCGTGTCCCCTCGAGATCGTCAAGTCGACGATGACAGGAGCACATACGACTGGATGCTTTCCTTCAAATAACAACTGTATGCGGTAAAAAATCGGTAGAACTGTTTCAAACACATCGTTGGTACTTGAGCGGTCGGCTTTCATCTCCTTTTGCCAGTGGTGGCGGGGGAGAACACCCCTCACCATCCCTCTCCAAAGGGGGAGTTTGGTAAAGATAGATGAAAAAACCGATTTGTACCTTCCTTAAAAGTTGTCCTAGCTCGCTATTCTACTATCTATATGCAATTTTCACACTGCCGTACTCTAACGGAACTATCAACTCTACACTTTCATCTACTCCATCTATCGTATAAAAATTACCACTACAGTCTGTTATTCGAAATTAGCATCTTCAACTATGTAAATCGTTGACTTCACGCAGAAGTAATACTAAAACATATAGTCAAAGTACATAAAAGAGAGCTTAACGACGTGTTCGGGGTATCATCCAAACCATTTGTGGGATAGTTTACCCATCCGGGATACAGTTCGTTTATGGTATTTGTTTATTAGGGTATTCTGCACCAAAGTTGCAACTGCTCGAGTATTCTGTTTCCGTTCTGAGCGGATTTGAAACACGGATCACTGTTTCTTTGGATGCTTTTGTGAAGCTACACACTCTGAAATGATTATCGATGATGATCATGTTTACCGAACTATCAATAGCTGGAACTGTTCGGTCAAATTCAAGCATTTTAATTTGTTAGTTTTCAGGTTTCAAATTCGTTCACTTTTACATTACAATGTTACAATTACTAAGATGCGATTGAATGCCAGATGAGTTTTGTAATTTCATACCAGGTAATTTAATAGACTTTCATGCTACGAAAGCTGAATACGAGCTTATTCAGCTGAAAAATAACTTATTCAGCTTTTTATCAGCTCAAATTAACCACTTCATTCGAGCAGTTAAAATGACTTTACTGCCACTCGAACATAGAAAAAAAAAATTATTTTGAGATTTTTTCTTCTAGAACCACCAGAAAAGTAGCCAACATTTGTGCGTTTCATAAAAAAAAAATAGAAATTGTTGGTCCAGTTTTGTGAAATCACTGGTAGAAAGTGTCACGCCAAAACTGCTTGACAAAGTGGTCAATTGTGTGCTGGGATTCGTCTACTTGATGGTGTTGTTAGTTTGCCCGTGTGAGTTTTTATTTGCGATAAATCGACGACTAAAGCCATTGTTTAAAAGAAGCAGTTTCGCCCCTTTGAAATGTTGATATATAGTTTCAAATGCTATTACGTCCTTTCGGCATACGTATAGATATTCGAGAAGGACAAAACGTACGGTTTTCAAAGCGTGAGTGACACCAGTAAAAATATATCTAAACAATTTCTTTTTCTTTTATCCTCCATATATCCTAATTTGCCGCCGCCTCTCTTGACCCGACCCTGTCAATTTTATGTACAATGTTTGGAATCGACCCCCAAATCTTCGCGCATACGTCCCACGTCGGTATTGTTCTTACTTAGTGAAGTGCTCAGCGAAGGTCATCGACAATTGAGATGCCGACAACTGGATCAACGAGAAAATTGTTTGATCAAGATCATCATCAGAAGAAGAAGAAGAAGAAGAAGAAGTGACCACAAACATCCCCACACCACATACAAATCCAAGTACACGGGACGCCAGGGAGCAGGAAAAGAAGAAGAGATTGAGCAGAAGTAGAGGGAGGCAACTTCGACATCAAACAATAAGAGCGATCCGCAGAATCAGCCAAGAGAAAAAAGAAATAATAACAAAAAAAAAACAACAGGTTGAAGGAAATTATCAAAACAAAAGCGATAAACGTAAATCTTAATAAAAAGAATAGGACAAGAAACAAAATTTCTAGATAAATCAGTAAGTCAGTCAACAAAAAGGCATGTTAGCGATTAAACAAATAAAAAAATAACCAATTGTACATCCCCCAAACCACCAAAACAAAACAAACAACAACAACAACAAAAAAGAACATTGAAAAACAACAAAAAACGACAATGCGCATTCAGCATCGTAGAACACATGGCATATTGTGTAGTATTAGGTCAAACATCCTTGTCTCTTTAGCGAAGGAGGAGTATCATTCAGTAAACATTAAACAACAATGTTGTCATTTTTTCGAATAGAATTGGAATTTATTGCTAGGATGAAGCCGGGACGAAGCGGAATTTTTGAAACATTGTAAGACCATTCAATGAAATTGTGTGTGTATTTGAGAGAAGAAAAGAAAAAAAAAATACAACCAACAAAAACAACAACACAAGATATCAAAACATCTTGACGTGACATGAAATTTGTTGCACCATCAGGAACAAACGGAGGAAATATACACCAGGGTTGAAGAATAGCAGAACCTCTCTTTTCCTCTCCTCCTACTTAGATAGACTACTAAGCGTACGTTATAGAGAAAGCCACTTTTTGAAACGCATATGTAACGAACGAGCGAGAGAGGTGTGCCCACGGAGCGCGGGAAACATCCAATTTTTAACCCATTTGTATATTTTTTCTCGCCGAGAAAGCAAAACAGAAATCTCGCGCAGACGACTCCTATAAGAAAAGAGTGACAAAAAAAAAAGAACAAAAAAAAACAAACAACAAATGTAAAACAACATTTTACACCGGAAGACCTTTTTCCTTTTTATTACCCTTCAAATACAGAAAAGAAGAAAACTTGTTTATATAGCTTAGTAGCGGAAGAGCAGTAAGATTCGGTTTTCTCAGTTTCTATTCTCGTTTAGTTATTCTGCAAACGGTGGAAATAATAATTATCGAATTGTAATATACATATTACTTAGCTAACGGAAGAAGAAGATGGAGAAGAAAACAAATAAGTGAAACTTAGTGCAGTCGACATTCTGACAGATATGGAAAACAATAGTAGCAAACAGTACACACAGCGAGACAGCGAGCGGATTGAGTTATGCGGGCAACCGGCAAACCGCGCGATTGTCGGGGTTTATAATTTATCCAATTAATTACACATAAAAACAGTTAATTTGCATTGAAAAAAAAATGAAGAAGAGAACAAACAAAAAAACTGAAATAGAATAATTATTGCTCTAATTTTACTACTATTATTATTATTGCTGGAACGATTAAATTTTAATAAATTATATTACAAAACAACAAATTGGAATATTGCGATTGAGTTGCTTGTGTTGGTGTGTTTTGAATTTTTCCTTCGAACTGCTGCTGGGTGAAGTCTTCATCGTTCGATGCACATGCGGACGCGGTACACACTATACCCCATATATTTGTTTATTTGTTTATTTGTTATGGTTGCATCAACAGACTAGAAATAGTCCCAATGATGTGTTGTAAAAAAGTACAGATTATACAGACGACATACATATACTACAGTTACTACAGTTACAAACGAAAATAACTTGGAAAGCATTGTCAAGTTACTAAAAATTTATAAGTCTTAAATTTTACACTTAGCTGTTGGGTATCAAGCGCCTTCGGTCAGCAAAAAAGGCAGAGAATCTTCGGCGAAGCATATTCCGTGTCAAGTGGAAATCGAACATCGACGCTACTCGGTTGAACACTAGCTGCAAGCCGTAAATAGCGCTCCCTATGCTATAATTAGTTCGAAGAAGTGGAAGTCTCAGCATAAGACTGTTGCGTAGTGATCGAGGTTGAACATTAATGTTCACTTGTTGCAGAATTGCTTCGCAGTCAATTCTTCCTTGCAGAGTATCGGCGACGGTTAAGGCTCTGAAAACATCTCTTCGGATACGTAAGGGCTCGATATTGATCAATTGGCAGCGATTCTCGTAGCTTGGAAGACGAAGTGGGTATCTCCAAGGCAGCTTACGGAGCGCGAAGCGAAGAAAACGTCGTTGAACAGATTCAATTCGCTCGGCCCCATTATTGTAGTTCGGGCTCCAGACAGCAGAGCAGTATTCCAACGTAGATCGTACGAGAGAGCAATAGAGCGATTTCAAGCAGTAAATGTCCGTGAAGTTCTTAGTAATCTTGAAGACAAAGCCAAGCGTTCTGGACGCTTTGTCGACGACATACGATATATGATGTGAGTATGTCAGCTTTGAGTCTAGAAAAACGCCTAAGTCTTTCACGCAGTGCACCCGTTCGATAGTCGTGCCTAGTAGTTTGTAGTTGAAAATAATCGGTTGTTTCTTGCGTGAGAAAGTAATAACTGTACACTTAGCTGGGTTGACCACCAGTCGGTTTAGACTACACCAGTCAGCAAAGATGTCAATCTGATTTTGGAGAGAACGGCAGTCGGCGAGTGAGCGGATGCGCAGAAAAACTTTCAGATCGTCTGCAAACGATAATCGTGGCTCTGTGATAACATGGTGAACGTCGTCGAAGTAGAGGAGAAATACCAATGGTCCCAGATGGCTGCCCTGAGGTATACCGGATTTTGCGCAGAAGCTTGCTGAGCGACAAGTACCCAAAGTTACTGTCAATTGGCGCTCCGTGAGGTATGAACGAAACCATCTCAAAAGATTTCCACCGATCCCTAGCCTATCAAGCTTAGCGATCGCAATTTCGTGGTTCAGCTTATCGAAGGCTGCCGTAAGATCTGTGTAGATAACGTCCGTTTGGGTTCGAGCAATCAAACTGTCTGTGATGTAAGACGTTAGGCACAGCAGGTTCGTAGTTGTGGAACGCCCAGTTATGAATCCGTGTTGATCTGTACTTAGATATTGCCTGCAATGCGCATTTAGGGACTCTATGACAACCAATTCAAAAAGTTTTGATACAGCACTCAGCGATGTGATTCCTCGGTAGTTGTTTACGTCGCGTTTGCTTCCCTTTTTATGAACAGGAAACATATCCGCAGTCTTCCAGCAAGACGGAAAGATGCCGCTGGAAAGAGAGAGCTGGAATATGCGGCGCAGTGGATCTAAAAGACAAGTGATGTTCTTTTTAAGAATAATCGACGGAACACCATCGGGTCCAGCCTTAGTTGAAGTCTTAAGTTTAGAAGCTGCTCTAGAAATCGTATCTGTAGTGGCTTCGACCATGCTGAGCGTTTGGTTGATCAAAGGAACATTACTGGCCGCGGAAGTAATGATATTAGCGGAGAGTTGCTCGGCTACAAACACACTAGCAAATTTGGCTGAGAACAGGTTGCAAATGTCTTGTTGATTTCCAGCAGTTTCACCATTAAAAATCATGGAAGAGGGTAAGCCGACTTCCCTGCGTTGCTCATTTACGAAGTTCCAGAAGGATTTCGGGTGTGATTTTAGCCGCCGTTGAATCCTCCTTTGATAGCGTTGAAAACAGAGACGACTTAACCGCTTATACTCGTGGTTGAGTCTGACATAGTAGCATTTCAGTGGCAGTGTGCGGAGTTTAGTAAATCTTCTGAGAGCAGCCTTCTTAGTTCTTTTCAACGAGCGAAGATCTTTCGTCATCCACGGGACGCGAGAGTCGATATGGATGATCTTTTTGGAAACGTGTATGTCAATGACATATGCCATATGACATATATATAAATTTTACAGTAGAAAAATTAGTGGAACTGTAAGTACCTCATGTAAGTTTTCATGGTTGTCCTAATTGCGAACAGATCGAAAATTGTGTTAATACAGTAACTGTTCATTCTTCGGAGGAATGTACTGCTCGAACCGTGTTCAGTCTGTATACGGAGTAGAACGAATAAATGGATTGGATATGGTTCTGCAATGGATCAATGAAAATGCTACGGTTTTGACAGAACTGTGCTGTGGCTACCACAGTATTTTACATTTGATCGTCCATATACAGTAGCGCAAAAGCATGATGTGGTGGGTTCAAAACTTGTCCATCTAAATTGATCAATTATTGATCAATTTAGATGGTCATGTGGTGGGTTCAAAACTTGACCTTCTAAATTGATCAATTTAGATGGTCATGTTTTAAACCCACAACAGCATGCTTTTGGCGCTACTGTATATGGACGATCAAATGTAAAATACTCTGGTAGCCACAGCACAGTTCTGTCAAAACCTCAGCATGTTCATTGATCCATTGGGAGTCGATCCTTCACTGAAACAAGGACCATTGCTTGGAATACTATTTTGCAGAAAACACTTATTTTCAATATAGCTACTGTGTGGGTGTAAAAAGCACCCAATGCTTCTCCGTGCAGTGTGCTGAACTTTCAGCACTATCGCAGGGACTAGTAGTCAGCCATGATGAGCGTTGCGAGGACAACGAACTGGACATTCTCGTGTCATTCAATCACCAACCACCGTGTAGGTAAGCCGTGCGCAGATTCCTTTCCAGCTGATGGTCAGTTATTCACAATGGCGATCCTGCCAGGAGTTGCAACAACCCACCTTTGTTGCAACGGATAATCAACGGAACCTCGATTAGAAGCCGGAAAAGAATCACCCAAAGTTTTCAACGCAGCAAAAAAATAAACAAATAAATAAAGTGAGGTAAGATTGCGCGGATGGAAAAATCACGCTTCAATTTTATGTTTACAGGGTGCGTGACGAATTTTTGCAGTAAATGGCATATTTGAGAAAAAATACACCAGTTAGTTATTCTAGCAATGAATTTTGTGCGATTTATTTTCTTTCGCAACATATGGAAGTTGTAAGTAAATTTATTCAAAAAAATTGCCTTCCCTTTCGACGACTGTAGTTAGACGCTTCCGGAAACCGCAGTATGCACGTTTTAAAATGTTTCGATCCATAGATGTCATAACTGCCTTGATTTTAGCTTTTAGCGACTTAAGTGTGGTGTGAGGGGTTCTATTGGTATCCCGTTGGACGACGCCCTATACAAAATAATCCAACGGATTGATATCGGGACTGCTTGGGGGCCAAATTTCTTCCTCCCAAATTTACGAAATATTTTCCGTAAGCCATTTCTGTGCTTTATTAGCAGTATGAGCAGGTGCTCCGTCTTATCACTTTCCCAAGCTTTTTTTAATATTATACACTGTTCTTTCAGACACATTTACCGACCGAATTATTTCTTTCATGCATACTCCGGCGCGCAACAAAGCGACAACGGCTGACAGATCGCTCTCTCTTTTTTTTTTATTATAGCCATTTTAACACTCTTGGGTCATTCGTGATTTGTCCGGGGGTGAGATTTGAACTCGTGACTTTGGCGTGAGAGGTATGGATGTTAACCACTACGCCGGGGTTGCCCCCCAGATTGCTCTCTTGTTTCGACATCTTTACGTTTACTCAACATTGTTTGTTTAAATCTTACACCTAACAGTATAAGCTATCCAGTGCTGCCAAATATATCTAAATCATGATGCACAAGCATGAGAAATTACTAATTGAAATTTACTGCAAAAAATCGTCACGCACCCTGTATGCATAAAACGCAAATCTTCTAAGATTGTGCACAAGATGAGCGAATCAGATAGGTCGCGCATTGGGGAAGCGGACATACAAAGTCGCGCAAGCGGATCAAAACGTCGCGCATTTGAAAAGCGGATCGGTAAGGTCGCGCATGAAATAAGGAAAATAAGTTTCTATCAGTGAAGCTTACGATCGCGCATCTGAGAGAGGATCGAAAACATCGCGCATATAGAGCGGATGGGAAAAAAATCGCGCAGCGAATCTTTTGATCCCGTGGACCCGAGAGCGGAGCCTAGAATTACGACTGAGAGCAACCTCAGTATTACTAGCATAATCCCTCTTCTAGCGAAACACTCACGCTAATGTGAATGTTTGCGCTTGCCATTTAAGAATAGTACAAGGTATTTAAAACAAAAACAAAAGGGCAAATGATGACAAATATGTTCGAGTGGTTGACGAACCAACCGGCCAACCAATGTTCCAATCGACTCTGAGATGATGGATAACCGAGAAATCTACACTCAAAATAATTTTCACTTCAATGCTACGTG